GAACAGAGCATCCAAGGATGCTCTCTGTCATCTGGGGCTTTCAGATCAGATGCTCTCATTTGATGCATGTGTTTCCCCCCCCTCCAAACCAACCCTGACACTAACAATGCAACTTCATCCTCCTCTCCCCCAGTATCCTTTGCAATTGAAACACTACTGGAAAGGGGCGCTATGCCCTGTGTAGCAGGTTTTGTGTGTGTGTGTGCCAACATTCATTACACTTTTTTTTTTTTAAAAAAAAGTTATCACTGACTGCAACCAAACATTTTGTTCCACTCAACATACATATCAAGCTCTTTTTGAGATATGCTAGGCTGAATCTTGCAGAACGCGTTTTCAAAGTCTTGGTACGTGACAGGCCTCAGCTGGCTGGGCATGATGGCTGAGAGGTCTGTGGCTGACATGGCGTGGAGGGGGCCCACCGCCGCTTCCTGACACAAATGAGCCACGTCGAGTCCAGAGAAGCCTTCTGTGCGCTGGACGAGCAGTGCAAACTCCTTTTCGTTGAGACAGTAATTGTGCTGTGAGAGCAGTTGTACTATTATCTGGTGCCTCGCTGTGCTGTCAGGAAGTGGGATTAAAAGTCGTTTCATGAAGTACCTCCGGAGAGATTCATCTATTTCCTCGGGTTTACTGGTGGCACAAATGACTACGATTTGGTCCTCAGCCGACGTGAGTACAGTGTCCAGCTGCATCAGGAACTCGGTTCTCATCCGACTGACGGGACTGTGCTCCTCGCCCACTTGAGAGGCGAGGAGCAGGTCAATGTCACTGACAAAGATCACGGAGGGCTGGCGACACCTGGCCACGAGGAAAGAGGCGTGGATGATCTTCTCTGCCTCCCCCAGCCACTTGGCGACGAGTCCGGAGCCGGCGATTTTGAAGAACGTGGCCCCCAGCTGACTGGCTATGCACCTGCCCAGTAACGTCTTGCCTGTCCCCCGAGGCCCGAACAAAAGGATGCTCCGAGGTAAGGCCGTCAGCCCGCTGAATGCGTCGGATCTCAACACCGGCCACAACACCTCCTCTTTAATGACGGCCTTCACCAGGTCCAGGCCGGCGATGTCACTCCAGTCCACGGGGGGTCCCTGGGTGATGATCTCGTTGGTGACCAGGTCAAGGAGCTGCGTGTCAGTGTTCTTCAGTTGCTCGTCCACGGAGTGGTTGGATGAGGTAGCTGCACGGAGCCCAGGGCCCGGTATGGGGTGCGAGAGGAGTTGCCTGCGCTCGTCCCCGTGCTCGCTCATGACCGGCGGCGTGTACTTCCCGAAGGGCTCGCTGGCCCGGGAGCCCAGCGCGGTTTTAGCAGTGCTGTAGGAGGGCGGGGTCAGCGCCCGGCCGGACTGGCTGCTGAATTTCCTCTGCTGCTCAGAGGACAGGAGCTGCTTCGTTGGCTTAAACGCTAAGGATGATGCTTCAGCACTTCTGTCAAAGCCATTCCCCCGGTTTGAGTTTGAAATGCTGTTGTCGGGCATTCTGTACATGGGGCTCTGCGTGGATCTCTGTTGGCCATAGCTGTAATTTCCATAACTGGAGTCCATGTCGCCCTGCCCCGCCATATAGAAAGCTTTTCTTTTGAGGGAGCTCGCTGAACTGTTTGCCAGGGCAGAGGGTGCGATGGGTGTCAAGCCGTGACCCTGGTAGGTGTAGCCGGGGACCGTGGTGGGGGGTAGGGGGGTGGGAGCCGGGATTCCTGAAGGCAGGTATGCTGAGGGAGGAGGGGGCGCCCCCCCGGGGCTATACCCAGACCCCACAGCAGTCTGGGGGGGATAGCTGGCAGAGGGGTAGCTGTAACTGGAGAGGTTGGAAGTCCCGTTGTAGCCTGGGACCAGGGTGGGTGGCGGGGGAGGAGGCGGCGGAGGCTGGAGGAGCCCAGAGCTATGCAGAGGAGAAGGATGAGGCGAGGGAAGTGCAGGTGCTGGCTGGCCACTGTACGTAGAATGCAAATAAGATCCGTTGTATCCGGGGGCGTATTCCTGAGACTGGAGGCCTGCGTGGAGACTAGGTACAGTGTGGCTTCCACAGGTGCTACTGGAATAGCTGGGTTCCGTCAGGTTGCTGGCCACCCCGGGAGAGCTCCCGATGCTCGCAGAGACATCTGCCGGAGGGAGGGCCGACCCGACTCCAGCTTTGCTGGCCGCGATCACGTCTGGGACACAGTTCATGGGATATACGGCTTCCGAGTTCAAGGACGGCTGCCAGGGTTCGTTTTCATTTTTCCGACCGTTCACCAGTCCCGACGGTGCGTCCGAGTAGTTGCTGAGTACAGGTCGGTCCACGGGGCCCTCCAAGATGCCAGAGTACTTCTCGGCATACTTTTTGAGCAGGTTGGATGCAGTCAGGGCAGAGATGTCGTCGTTTGCCCAGGCGTACTGATAGGTGCGCTGCAAATGACCTCGGTAGGCTTCGACTTTGTGGGCGGGAGACCGCGTGGTCGAGGTGATGTCAAAGTGCTGCTCTGGCCACTGGGCATGCTCCGGCGTCCACTGCATCTTCAAGCCTGAGGGTGGGGGCGGGGGGGAAAGTTAAGTTACTTAGATACTCATCAGAACTTCTTTTGTTACCTATTATCATCTACCAATCATGTCAACATTATAAAGTATTCCCCCAGTTTATAACATCTGTCATAAGCTCTATAACATGCACACTTTAACATGGATTGAATTTCAGCCCTGTAAATAAAAAATAAAAAATTCAAATGAACACTCTGTAGAAGACCTAAATTTCCCCCTTTTTAACTCATAGGCAAATGTATTTCTGGTAAGCCTATTAAGTCACTTGCTACACACACAGAAACACACACACACACACACACACACACACACACACACACACACATATATATATGTACACACACATTCCTGCCAAGTGAGAATTCAATCATAGGTTCTTACAATAAAATATGCACCCATTTTAAATACGGAGCAAGTGACTGTATTAATGTGCAATGTCTCGCTATTCCGCCTCTTCCCATCGCCGTTTCTGTTTCAGGTTTTAGCCAATATAAAAATGAGACACAGCTGACAGATCCCATCTAGGATACCTCTCTTATTTGGTACTGAACACCTAGTTAGCACAGCATAATGCTCCTGCACAGAACAATATGACACAGACATAGCAGGTCATTCCATACTCCAACTCTCATCTAAAGTGGCCCACGACAGTTTCAAATCTGTTTCGTGGAGTGCAGCCAAGCAATCTCCCCGGCAGCGCTTCATCGCTCGCATCGCACAAAGCCCACAACTCGGTATGAATTACAACTGGCTCCTTTCCGCCTCTCAGTTCTGTTGTCGAGCCCCGGGGAAAAAGATACAGGCATCACTTGTCTGTCGGTCTTCTCGCTAGCATTCCCCCTCCTTCTCTTACAATCCTTCTCTCTGCCTTAGAGGCTCCAAGCTACTGAGAGGAGAGAAGATTCTCTGTCTCTAGAGAGAGAGAGGTGAACAGGGGGATAAGAATGGAGAGAGAAGGAGAGGATCTGGATTCTAACTACATTTCCATGGGAAGCTGGAGTGGTACAACTCTGTAATGGCATGCTAATGGGTAATGATAGCATCTGTGAGATTACTAACGGAAGCAAGGTGACCATGTGTTAAAGTATAACACAAGAGTATTTTCCCACTTAAAAGAAAATGTTAAGCAGTTGGAATCAGAATCATTTGAATGTTACACTTTAAAAGAGACCTCAGACATCGCCTTCTCACACCCAAAGGGATCCATAACGCACCCTGGAGGACGTACATGCGGTAAGTGACAGGAGAGCCCTGGAACCCTGTTCTACTTCCCAGTGCCGGCTCATCCCCATCCTCATCTCCGCTTCCTTGGAACACTTGCTAGTCTGGTTCAGCTGTATCAAGCAGGCCTCCTTAATCTCCTCTGTATTACCCAAAGCGAATTTTGCAAACTGTCTTGTGCCCTCTGGCAGAGATTCCTTGATAAGGAGGCCTGGTCTAAATGAAGCTTCTGTGGCATCAGCTGTCTTCTGAATTTCCCAGCCTATTTTGACAGCTCCTACCCGCCTCTGCTTTCTTCCTCCAAACCCTTTCGCTCTTCATTGCCTGACTGGCTTCTGACACAGCCAGCTTTGACTTACGGAGCAAAGCTGAGTTTGGTAACAGAATGGCATGTTGATTCCCTTCTGACTCCCTCTTCCTTGTTTGCAAAACCATTGCACCAGACACTGGAAGTTAATTAGCGGGATGATGCTGTGCTAATTGTGTTAATTTACAAGGTTTTAGTCAAAGAGAATCATGCCAGGGCTGGCACTGCTGTCATGCTTCCAACTTAATGATTAAAAAATACTGAAAACAAGGTAGGAAGGATTGCAGTAATTACACAATAAATGAATAAAGCAACAGGATTCATTTGCAAATATATTTTACCACAGTTGTACTCATTTGCATTTGGATTTTTTAAAAGGATCCATGTAGATATTCATTTGCAAATCACCATCTCAGTTAAATTAAGTCTGAAAGCTGCACAGCATAACTTAATCAAGCTTTACCATTTTTTTTTAAGTAAAAATACTGAAGACCTTGTACATTCAACAGATTCCTTCTTCACTTTTCCTCTTTTCAAAGTCTGTCTTTTAGAAACAATCTCATCAAATTGCAAAATAATAAAGTAAAATAATAAATAAATACATTGTAAATCTGGATGAAATGCAACTTATTCATTTCACTCTGAGGAACTCGGTGTGAATTCTAGGAAGAACTAAAGTGATATTCTTAATTGTTTCTGTTTTCTCAATCATTATGTTTTTAAGGGAGAGGAAAACAGACCACAAAATGGGTGAAATGATCGAAACCATACTTAAAGAGGAAAATATGCAATTTTAATGAAGCAGCATTTCAGGAATCATACTTTCATTAAATTCAACTGGAAATTATTAAGAGTAAATCACCAGGAACCAATCGCAAGTAATCAGTATCTAAATTCTTGTAGTGTCATGGGATTTACTTCAAGCCTTATAAGAAGGAGAGAATATTAATGTGACTGTAATGGAGAGCTGTCTAAAAGATCTACAAATTCATTAGTCCTGTAAATTATTTCCAGGGAATTTCTATTAGGATTTTTTTTTTTTTTGTTCAGACTATCAAAATACAGAGTTGAGAACATAAGAATACACATACACTATGAGTAAGACTTTGATTAGACTGATACAGAAGAAACATTTAAATAAATGTCTTGAAACGAGGTTTCAGAAAATAATTTAGGAGTCCAGGCAACGGGATTTACTACAAGAGCACCACCACACCACACCACGCCACACCACACAACAGAGCATGCGTGTTAAGCGGCCTGGTTTCCTTTCAGTGAGCTGAGGTAAGCCATTGTTATCATGCCTTAACACACATACATAACAAAAATTATTTTTAAAATGCTCACCGTAAAAAACAAAATTTCAGCTTTAGATTAGAATAATTATTAAAAACAAAACAAAGCAAAAACGGTGGGCAACCTTCCACCTGTATCGGCTTAAGTGTTTTTTCTTGTAAATTTGCCATTTATAAAAACTATGCATAAAATAATCTAGGTAAGTTACAATCACTATAAGAGACAGGAATATAAAGTTTAAATCAACTAGGCTGGCTATTTTCGCTGGGCCTTTTTGCAAAGGCTCTAGCAAAACGAATTCAATTTCATAAGATTTCTGTTTCATCAGAAATTAAGCAAAAATCCTATCAAAACTATTTGTTTGGAACAATTATGCGGAACACGATTGCTTTTCGATGCTCATGCTAATTTTGGATGTGATTACCAAGATTATTGAAAGTTTATTGATTCATACTAAATAACAATAACCTCAGCAGGGCTGCAAAGGGCAAAATGGAGCTTTGATTAAATAAACTTAAAGGAACGGAATTATTCACATCCTTGAAACACAAGGACATAGCTAGTGCTTTAAAGCCATCAGTATTGTTTAAATACGTAAGTTAATAGTTTACCATCCTCTGGTTCTTACTGACAGTGGGCGCTAAGGAAGCTAGTGCTCAGGGGACTATCCTGGCCGTGGGAGCACAAAGAGCCTTCTCATCAGCATCTTGAATTTTAATACCAATCGAAAGTAGAACCAAACTTATTTTTGTTGTTGTTATTATTGCTCCGTTTATTGGTGGTGATATTTCTGACGTGAAATGGGATGAAAAACATACAGTTTAATGTTCTTTGAACAAAAAAGCACGCTCCCTTTGAATGTATTGCTGCTGCTATCTGTGAGTGAGAAGCAGCAGATGCCTGTCACTTACTTGGCACCCAAATAATAAGATGGGTTTTAAAAACAGTTTTTATACGGTTTCTTTTTGAAACACAAAGAGAGAAACCTCAGAAACAATACCATCTTCAACATTATTAGAGACGTGATTCAAAAAAAAAAAAAAAGTAACTCCCACCGCTGTTTAGTAATAGCTTACATAAGTACAATAAAAACTCAGAAAACAGTGAAAATGAAGAAAAACAGTTCTTAAAGATAATTGAAGGATCGCTCCAATTTTTATGTTTGATAGTATCAGACAATTATTAATACAGCTGGCAAATTTTACAATGCAATGTGTTTGTTTAAAAAAATGTGTAATTTAATAGAAAATTGCTTTTAAGGCACTTTACCATGTTACACAAGAACAACAGAGTCTACAGTAAAAAAGCCAGAGTGTTTGTTATTTTATTGTTATAGGATTGATTTATGTGTGTACAAATGAACAAGTCTGTATTTTCCATAAAACTGGGCCGTTGGCATAGCATTTTTCCATTGTTATTCTTATGACTGTTTCATAACTTATCTTTAATTACTGAACAGTCGCTGCCTGTCGCTTTACTTCCTCCCTTTTCACAATTTTGAAACGAAACAACTGGAAACAATTGTGGCATCCTTCACAGTGCTGTCTCAGCTTCCAAATTACCAAGAAACTCTTGCATAGGAAAACGAAGGGTATAAACACAACTTTCTGAATGGGAGGAAACTGAAATAAAAGACTAAGCCTTCTAGAATCTATTTTTAGCACACATTCCTGGAAATATTAATCTAAGGCGCTCACCACTCCGCCCCCACCCGTAACACACACACACACACACACACACACACACACACATATGCTATTCAGCAGTTCATCAGGTCTAAAAAAGCTGGTCTCCTCCACCAGGTTCCCACGGGGTAATTCTGGCTGCTAGGGACTCTGCCTTCATTTGTAGATGTCCTCAGACCTCCTAAGGGCAGGGACCCGAGGCAAACACCTGCAGGCACAGCGGGCAGGCCGGCTCCAGGACAGCTGCACAGCCCTCTCCCAGGCTTGCCACATCACTGCACTCATTACACTCCTTTGGGTTCCTGTACCTCTCAGGCCTTCATTATTATTATTTTTTATAATATATTTAAAAATATATGTAGTACCATACTCACCACGGTTTCTCTCTAGAAAACAATTACTACGAGGGTGACTATAACAAGTAATTAGAGCCCCCTTCAGCCCACCAATGCAGCATATTCATCATCTCATAGGTGGG